ATTCAGAAATTTTAGGAAACTCGGCGCCAACCACTCTGCCCTCAGTTGTATCTCAGCCAGCTGCCTTCGCCGCTCCGGCTGGTCCTGCAACTTCGAGCATCTTCGGCGGCTCGGGCAGTTCGAACTCGATCTTCGGCGCCCAAGCTGCCCCCTCAACTGGCTCTTCCATCTTCGGAAATACCAGCAAATCGATGTTCCCCTCCTTGGCGCAGAATAATGGTAAGGAAATTGTCCGTGATTCTGAAATTTTTCAGAAGGAATATTAATTTTTGAAGATTTTCTTGAAAGAATTATGCATCGAAAACAGTTAATTTCAGTTTTTCAAGTTTTTCAAAGCCAAATAGGCGGAATTTTTGCGAATGAAGTAGACATACTGACCAAAAAGTACCGTGACATCAAACAAATAAAACAGAAGTTGTTTTTTGGAAACGACGTGAAACGTATGGAATCTTGGAATTTTTTTCCATCTTTTTTAGGAAACTAATTTTATCTATAGAAGTCAGGTTGTTGGAATTTTTGAACTTTTTTTAAAAATTTCTAGGAGTTTTTTTGAGAAAAAAATGACTTTTTAAAAAAATATTTTTGGCTCAATTATTTTTGAGACAAGGGAAAATGTACACTCTAAGGTATCAGAATATCAAAAAAATGATAATAATTGAAGTTGGTTTTGAAAATGAGGCGGAACCTGTGAAAAATCGGCTTCTTCTGTTGAATTTTTGTATTAAAACCTTGAATTTTCGCCTCGAAAAATAATTTTTTTCAAATCTTCGAATCAAAAAAGTGCTTTTGAAAACAAAACGGAGGATAACGATCGTTTAATCGTTTTTTTAACCTCCGGTCCTTATAAAATATTTTTTTCATGGCAAAATGTTAACCGAAGGTGAAAAAAAGGACCTTAAAAAGCTTTTTAAAAAGATTTTTTTGGTTCAAAACTAATTTATTAAAAAAATAAATTTCGACTTTTTTTAATGCTTATGGTTGCATGTTCAGACGTAAACCCGGACGCTCCGGCCCAGAAGAAAAGTCTTTTTGCGGACGCCGACTCGACCACTACGTCTAATGGCTTCTCATTTGGAGGCGCCAATTCGTGAGTTTCAAAAAATATATCGAAAAACGAAAAAATTGCCATTTTCAGCGGATCCCTCTTCGGCCAATCTGCCCCGAAACCCACGCCTTTCGGCTCCTCCGGTAGTGTTCCGTCGTTCAGTTCGTTCACGAACCCGTCGGCCGCCCCTCCGGCCAACCAACAGCCGACCCTGTCCACCAGCTCCTCCTCCAGCTCCATTTTCGGACAAACTGAACCGCCAAAGTGCTCGAAAACCCAATAAAATCACACAAAATTCGATTCCAGAGCCTTCCAATTCGGCGCCGCGACCCTCCCGACCACGGGAACCTTCCAGTTCGGCTCGGCTCCAACCGCGGCTCCGGCCGCCGGCTCTGCCTTCGTCTTCGGAGCGGCCCCTCAAGCGCCCGCTCCTGGTAGGGATTTTAGATGTGAAGGCGGTGAAAAATCACCTGAAAGTTGATATTTTGAAGGTGTTGAGAAGGCTAGATTCTATTGAAAGTGCTTAAAAAACAAATAGACGATAGTTTTGGAAAATCTCAAGCTCAAGCGACGGCGCTTGGTAGGTATTTTAGATAAGAAGGCGATGAAAATTCACCAGAAAATACATTTTTTGAAGTTGTCGAGAAGGATAGATTCTATTAAAGGTGCTCTAAAAATAGATCATAAGTTTGGAATATTTTAATTTGAAGTCTCAAGGTCCTCATGCCTGGTAGGGATTTCAGATGTAAAGGCTATGAAAATTCGCCTGAAAATAGATTTTTTGAAGTTTTCGACAGTAAGATGACGTAATTGAATAGAAAAATGAGATGTTGAGTGATTGGGAAGGATAGGATTTCCTTCATTTTTTTCAGAAAATATCAATTATAAGCTGTTTTTGAGAAATTAGATCATAATTTTTTTGAAGTTTTTGAAGAATTTTTTTGTTGAAGAATTAGAAATTTGAAATCTCATGCTCTCAAGGCGGCGGTTGAATCTCAAACCCCTTGAGTGGCAATTTTTGACGGAAACGCGATGAACCTGAATATAAACGGAAGTTTTGAAGTTATCAGAAAGGCTAGAAGGAGTGCAACGAAAAAAGAAAATTTAAATCTGAAGGTGTTTTCAAGGAATTCGACCATTATTTTTGAAATTTTGAAGTGTGAATCTCATTTGGCGGCACCTTTTGAAGAATTTAGATGAAAAGGAAGTCACTTGAAATCGATGTTTTGAAAATATTAGGATACAGAGAACTTTTGTTGGAAAATTCAGAAAAAATCCCAAAAATGAATGATTTTGAAGGAGCATTCGCCTTCGGAACCCAAAACCCGGCTCTTCAACAACCTCCCGGTGGAGCTTTTGCCTACAAGTGAGAAAATCGAAATGATATTCAAAAATCAATCGATTCCTTTTTCCAGCGCTTCTGCCGGCCCTGCAGCCACCGCCCGCAAAATGGCCTTTGCCCGGCGTCGTATGACTAAAAAATAAACCCATTTTCATTCTCTCGTTCTTTCTTATTTTTTTCTATGTATTAAAATTCGAGGTAATTAAATTGAAATATATTTGTTTAAAAAGAAAAATGAATTTTTAGCTTTTAAAAAAAAGTGATATGAAAGGTTGGGCGTTCCGCTGACCCGGTTTGATTTTATGTATCCTTGTGGGTTATTTTCTTTCCTTAATTTTTGATTGCTCTTTTTTTGTCACACCATATCTTGTTGCGAAACATAGATACTTATTGTTCTCTGTTGAAAAAAAAAGAATAGTTTATCGAGTAGTATTTTCCTTCTTTTTCCCGTCTTATCAAACTGGATATAATGATATCCTTGCCGTTGTTGATTATTTTATGTTCCTTTTTGATTTTTTGATTTATTCATATTAACCCGTTTCTTTCGATTAATCTTGTACCACCCAAATATTCACGATTTCCTCCTCGAAACACTATTTCGGAGCCGCTTTACGATGTTTGTACTCCATGTTATTTTTTTCCGTTTTTGCACAGAGAAATAAAGAGGAATCGTGGGGTGAAACCCGTTGTTTGGTAATGCGTTTTATCGACCATTTTGATAGCTTTTCAGAATTCCAAGGTGAGAACCTGGACGTCATAAAAAAATGGTTTCGAAGATAAGAAAAATCTTCGAATTGTTTAAAAACGCCAAGCCAAGTAAATTTTAAACTTTTAAAGCACCTTTCTAGACAACTTACCGTTCAAAAGCTTCGATTTTAATAAAACTTTGAACTTCCAACGAAAAAGTCGTTTTTAACGGCCATTCCAATCTTTTTTTTTTCTCGAAACCGGGGCCTCAAATAAAGAAGAAAACGCGCTCCATCGGACAGAATATTTGTTCGAGTTATGACGGCCCGGAAATGGAACTTTTTCTGAGAAAACGGGCTGTTCTGGTTGGAATTTTATCTGTTTTTCATGATAATTATCTTTTTTTGATCTTTTATCATGTGAAATTTATTCTGAAGGGCTTAAATTTACATTTTTCTAATGAAGTTTTGAAGAATTTTTCAATAAATTGAGAAAAAAAGTTGAACTTTTTCAGAGTTTTTGTTAAGGATTTTTTTATCGTTTTTCTGAAATATTTTTCTGTTTCTGAAGCATTTTTCAAACTTTCCAGCAGATTTTTTTGTCTTAAAATAGCTTCTAAGTAGAACAAAACTAATTTTGAAGCGTTTTGGTTCAATTTCGAGACATTTTTCAATCAAAACCCTACCATCTTTAACAGCAAAAGCGTAAAATGCCTCGAAATCGAATTCGACGTTCTTTTTCGCATCGATACGTTATTAATTCCATTTCGAAACATATTTTTGTGGCTTTTCCGGGTCATTTGTTAAAAACCATCAATTTTCGCAAAAGAAATGGAAATTTAGGTATTTATGGTACTTTTCAATGGTTGCTTCAGTGGATTTCACAATTTTGTAGCACTTTGGCTCAATTTCAAAGCGTTTTGCATCAAAAAGACCGATTGAACTTTTGAAAAAAGATTTTTTTTTTCTTGTTTACGTGTTTTCTAGTTGACCATCTGAAGCGTTTGGCGAACTCTCACTTATTTTTCTGATCATCTTGCCGAATTATATCGATTTTTGAAGGTACTCTGTGATTTCTAGCTTGTTTCTTAAATGAAATTGGTATTTCTATATTTTTTCGATGAGTAATTTGGCAGAGGAGTAGTTTTTAAGTAGAAAACTTGTTTTTTTGCTATTTTTTTCAAAATTTATGTTTAAAAAAATTCCTCATTATAATGTAAGCAACTGTAATTTTTCAGAACTTGTAGAGTGAAGTAGAGAAAAAAATCGATTTTTTTAACTGCAAATGATAATTTTTTTGCTTTTTTTCATGATATTAATTTTTTTCAAGGTTATATTCTCCAAGAGAAAGTAAATTTTTCATGTTAATTTATTGAAATATTCTATTTTTATTTAAAAAAACCAAAGATATATGGTTTAAACTACTCAAATGGCTTTCAAAAAAAGACAGAAAAAAATATTTTTTGCGCAAATTTTTTATTTTTCACAATTTTTCCTCCTTTATGTTATTTTTCATACGTATAAAGTTTAGAAGAAGTGAATTTTACGCTGATTTTCATTTTGAAGCAAATCTTATTTCGAGACGTTTTTTTTTATTTTCACAATTTTTTCAACTTCAGCTTCTAATATTTCATTTTCTATACGTTCAAATTTCGTTGAAAAAAAAATTGTCTCGCAAAAAATTAATGCAATTCGAACCAATCTCCATGACATTTTTCTTCTTTCGAGACACGTTTTTTCCCAATTTCACGCTTTTGACTTCACTTTCGATGAATTATACTCATAAAATCCGCTTTTTCAGTTTTTTCCCATGTTCCGATGGCGAATTTTATCTTTTTCGCTGTTTTTGGCAACCTGTGAAGCCGTCGCCGTTTCGAGGAACCTCGGAACGAAAAATTCTCAGAATTATGAGAAATTCACGATTCAGATGATTGGGTATCAGCCGACGAAGGTGAAGATGACATTTAAAAAAAAATTTTTTTGGATTTTTTTATAATTTTGATGAGTTTCATGAACTTTCTGTGGTTTCAAAGCAGCTTAAAACTTGAAAAATCTTGGTCAATTTCGAAAAAAAGTTGGATTTTGAAGGAAAAATGCAAATTTCTTCCTTTCGGAGCGAATATTAGGGTGAAAAAATCAATCGATTTGAAAAATAAGCCTAAAAATCAATAGTTATAGGGGGTTTTTTTTTTTTGGAGAAATTAGTAGTTTTTGAAATTTTTTCTTCAATTTTAGTACCAGGAACCAAGAAAAAACCGTTTTTATCATTTCTTTCTTGATATTAAAGTAAATATGTTTTTTACAAAATCTTCCAGACGGACGATTATGTAGCCGTTTCCAGAGAAGCTGTTCCCGGTTATATTGGTAATATTTTTGAACGAAAAAAGATGGTCCAGCTCCAATTTTTCAGTCGGATTCGAACCTGTCGCTCACGCGGACCGTGTCCACCACATGCTGCTCTACGGTTGTACCGAACCGGCCCGAGATTCCGGTTTCTGGCGGGGCCAGGACACGTGTTCCTGGACCGGCGGGAGCTATATCCTCTACGCCTGGGCTAGGAATGGTAAGGAATAACAAAAAAAAAAATATCGATTGATAGTTTCGATCGATAATGCTGTGTTAAGATTGGGAAAAACTCCAGATTTCTCGGTTCACCCTAACCCTTAAGTGACCACTTCAAACTAGAGAGGTTATTCCAGGCGCTGCCAGTTTTTCGGAAAGCTTAATTTTAGGCGCTCCCAAATGCTAAGAACTAGAGAAAAATCGATTTTTAACTGCAAATGGTAATTTTTTTTTTTGCTTTTTTTCATAATATTAATTTTTTCAATATTATTTTCTCCCAGGAAAAAGAAGTTTTCATGTTAATTTATTGAAATATGTTTTTTGATTTGAAATAAGCAAAGATAAATAGTTTAAAACACTCAACTGCATTCAAAAAGAGACGAAAAAAGATTTTTCGCGCAAATTTTTCATTTTTACAATTTTTCCTCCTTTTTATTAATTTTCATGCGTATGAAATTTTGAAAAAGTAAATTTTACGCGTAAAATGTTGTTAGAATTTACATTTTGAAGCTATTTTCTTATTTCGAGACGTTTTTTTTTCATTTTCTCAATTTTTTCAACTTCAGCTTTTAATATTTTATTTTCTATGCGTTCAAATTTTGTTGAAAAAAAAAATTGACGCGCAAAAAATTATTGGAATGCGGACCAATCCCCATGACATTTTGCCAAGTTCTTTGAAAGCTTATGCCGTGTTCAAAGTAATTTCCGCGAAATGCGAAATGGTCTCTGACCCTCCAAAATTCAGTTATCTTTCTCTTTCTCTGACGGCTATTTTGAATTTCGCGGAATCACTTTGAACACGGCATTATAGTCTGTTCAGATTTTCAATGTCAAGTGCAATGACGTCATTCAAAAACACTCTGTGGATGGCTCGCTCTCTCATTGGTTTATTGCACCATTATGGGCGGAGCTTGAGCGACGACTTGACATTCAAAATCTGAACAGACTATACCTTTAGGCGCTGCCAAATTCGTTCTCCCAAACTGTGCAGAACCAAATTTTCGCGAAATTCAAAATTTCTTCTGACTCTCCAAAATTCAGTTATCTTTCTCTCTCTCTCTCTCTGACGGCTATTTTGAATTTCGCGGAATAATTTCGAACATGGCGCAGTTCCAAATCTTACGTATTTTTTTCGTTAAAAAAGGATTAGGCGGAGCAAAACTTCGAAAGTCGCTAAGGATCCTTAAACGCAACGAATTCAAAATTTTGCTTAAAAGTGCCCCAATAATTTCAAAATTTGAAGTTTTGCGCGAAAAACATCTTGTTGTAGAGAACGCAATTTTTATTCCTAAACTCCAATTTTGCGAAATAATTTTGAACTAATAACGCGATCGTTTTGAAGTCGCCGAAATCACTTTGAACACCATTTCATTATTTTTTTTTTCCTTCCAGTTCTCTTTTAAAAAAATTTTTGTTATACGAAAAAAATTGAGGATAAAGAGACGATTCTTTAAAAAAATATGAATGAACTATTTTTTTCAGCCCCAGACCTTGATCTTCCGCAAGATGTCGCTTTCAGTATAGGCCATGAGAATGACGGAATCAAATATTTTGTTCTTCAGGTGAATTTTTTTTCTTTCGGTCCCTTTTTGCGCCTTTCGTTGATTAGAATGGAATATTTTTTGACACTTTATTGTGATAAACTGAGCTTTTCTATTTGAGGTTCACTACGCGGCGCCTTTCGACGGCGAAATCCACGATTTTTCCGGCGTCACTTTGCATTTGACCCAACAGAAACCGGCAAATCTCGCCGCCGTTTTACTCTTCGTCGGTGGAACGCCGATTCCGCCAGCTTTGAATCAGTTCCAGGTAACTTTTTTAGTGGAAAAAAACTCCGATTTCATTATTTTTTGTGAAAAATCTACTAAAAAATCGTTTTCGCGACTGAAACGATGCAATTTTTGCGTTTTTTTTAAATTAGCTTTGTTGTATAGTGCGAATATATACAACTTTAGTTACTAACTATTTACTTCAAACAAAAGTAAAAACAAAGACAAAACAAAGTAGGACGCGATCGCATAAGCGATTGCGCAGAAGTGGAACTGTGAAGGTGGCCTGCACATCTTAATAATGCGCGGCAATTTGAAATGGTGTAGATTTACGGGGTGAAATCTAGACACTACAACAGGCATCGATTCCAATTTTTGAATTTCTCTCAATTTTCCTATCAAGAAAATCGATTATTCAACATCAAATACGTTTCAGAAGCTCTTTTTAGAATTTTTAATGAATGAATAAAAATAATTTCCAAAAAAATAATGCAATATTTTAAAATTAGCGCCAAAAATACAAGATTTAAATGAAAATTGTCGCTTCGAGCCGAAAAATAGGAACTTTGAACTTCTTTTTAGCAATTTAAAGGGGTTTACCGGCTTTTTAATGCTTAAAATGACTTTTTTCTTTTTTACAGTTCCGTTTTTGTTTCGAAACAGCTTTCTGGGATTTTTGAAACGTTTGAAAAAAAGTTTAGATTAAAAATATCGAAAAAGGAAATTGTTCAAAAAAATCTATTTTTGAAAGACTTTTTTTCAGATTTTTAATCTATAGGTGACGAAACGGTTTCATTTCAATTTTGAAAAAAGCACTTTTTTGGGATGTTGCAAAATTTTGACAGCTTTTTTTCGGCATGCTGGAAAGTGCGCGCTGTGCGCACTCTTTTCTCGATGCGCACGTAAGGAAAATGCGCACTCTTTTTTTCAAATTTTTGTACAGGAAATTGCGCTCTCTTTCTAACATCAGGAAAAATGCGCACGGTTATCAAATTGCGCTTTTTTTCTAGATTGAAGTCCACATAAACCATCTCACTTTTTCTCTTTGTCATGAAGAAATCTTTCAGCTAAAGATGAATTGAACATCTTTTTGATTATTTGATAATTTATGGAGAATATTTCTTATCAGGAATGGTCTGCGGTCACTTCGGAATGAGACCAGGTGTAGTTATGCAAAAAAGTGAGATGCTCTCTTTTGAGACCAAGCTGATTCCAAGCTTGGTCTCAAAAAGCTACCGCGAAAAATCTGCTAAAAAAAGTGAGATGCTCTCAAAATATACAGATCTTTTTCCATCTGATAACATTAAACAATACAGAGTGGAGGAATAATTACTGCGACAAAAGTTTTTTAGCATTTGCTCTCGCCGACCCGAGCTCATTTTTGTTCCAGTCATTATTCCTACCTTCATCAAGCCTTCTTCTATAATATGATGATGCCACGCTGACTTTCGGAAAAGTCGTTTCTGCCTTTTGGGCGTTTATGGCAAGGCAGGCAGGCTTGGCTATGAAGGCCTAAAAGCCCCCTAGGACTTGATTTTTTTAATTTCGAAAAAAAGCGCGGGCTCGGGCCAGAGATTCAAGAAACTTTTTTTATTTCATTAAAAAAACATTTTTCACCGAAAAAAATATTTTTTTACATGTTGAATCACATTTTTTTAATAACTCAATGAAGAAAAAAATAAGCAAAAAAACCCCGCTTTTTCTCGTTAAAACAGCTAAAAAAATTCGAAATGAAGAAAAATTTGAGCTTTTTGGGCCGGGCCGAACCACCAAAAAATTTTTTCAGTGATTTTTACAGCCAAGTACAACACTGGAAAAAAAAATCTTGACTCAAAGTTACTTCATTACGCATCAAGGCCGTATGAGAGGGAGTTTATTGCGACGTTCAGAAATTATTCGATAAGGTCGCCCTGAAGCTCAATTTGAACGTACTTTTAAGGTTTCGATTCTCGAAATTGATAACGATTCACGTCTATGTAAGCAATTAAAAAGAAGTCGCAAAAAAAATTGAAGGAATTGTTTTTCCGAAAAAAATAGAGAAAAAAAGGGTATCGCGAGACCCTCTGAGGGCATATCGCAGGGTCTGAAGCCTATCGATGGTAACCCAAGTATACCTCTGAGGACTTTGAGCAAAATGAGATAGACTTGAGGGAGACTCTAAAGTACCTCCGAGATAGCTCAGATATAGCTAGTCTCTGTAAGAGATGAGGTCAACTCAGAGAGCAGTAAACAAGATAATTTGAAAGGTGTGTACCTTTTTTCTCAGTACCTTATGGGGTTTAGCAGATAGTATTGCCTGTTTTTAAGTACCCTTACTTACTAGGGAACTACTCGGACTCGGGTACGCGGATCGAGTTCAAACTTTAGTGGTTTATAGACCTAAGTGAAAACACTTGAAAACAAGTGAGAATATCTGCTAAACCCAATAGAGAACTGAGAAAAAAAATTAGTAGAAAAATGTGAAAAATTAGACCTGAAAATTTTTCAGAATACTGCTTTTTTTACCTTATTTAATATTTTAATAAAATCGCCTTGAATGATCCGGCTATGATAAACACTAAAAAAACTTTTTTTCCAGCCAAAAGAAGGAGGAAAGCAAAAAAATTTGATAGTTTTTCAAGCCTAAACTGTTCATTTTTCAAAAAAATAGTTTTTCTCAGAAGTCTATAGGATTTAGCAGATAATCTCTCTTGTTTCCAAGTACTTTTACCCGGGTCTATAAGCCACCAAAGTTTGAACTCGATCCTTGAATGCGAGTTCGCGTAGTTCCCTAGTCAGCTCAAAACCAATTTTCGAGTCCTTATCGAAAAAGGTCTTATCCGGTTAGAAGAATGGAGTTTTGTGCTTTTTCTGTTATCCCATTGACTCCAAAATTTTTGAGAAACTTCAATGTGCCTCTTGTAACAGTACACACCAGTTTGCCTACTGACTTTTGGCCGTTCTGCTCAAAAACTGTGACAAAACTGATTTCGACCATCTGCGTACCGCAGTCAATTGGGTGCCACTACATTTTTCGAGCGGCAGTTCATGTTAATTTTTTTGATTAAATCCCTGTAAAACTTTATAAAAAAAATAATTGTGAGTTTCCGGTCTTTATTGACTATTGACAATTGACATATTGACAGCTCCTTCATTTTGTCGCAGTAATAATTCATCACCCTGTAAATTTTTCTTCAGAAATATTTTTGAACCTCGAAAGGTCCTTTCGATTTGTATTTCACATATTTCCCTTTTATAATATAGTTTGTCCATGTTTTTGAGTTTCAAGCAGCAATCTCTGCCCCAAACAAAGCCTGTGAGTGGCTCGTTCTCTGATTGGTTTGATCTACACATAAGAGGCGGAGTTCGACCGATGACTTGACATTCAAATTCTGAACAAACTATAAACGCCGACTGTGGCTTTCTTCGGAAAATAACATTCCAAAATTAAAAAAACACATTATCACGTGAAAGGTAAATCAGTCTGACCAGTCTAGTGACCGCCTGGTATTATTATTGAAAAAGATGAATTCTGAAAAATCAGTTATATCAACTTCAAATAATCCGAAAGAACAGGATTTGATAACCGTGCGCATTTTCCTGTTGTTAGAAAGAGAGCGCAATTTCCTGTACAAAATTTGAAAAAAGAGTGCGCATTTTCCTTACGTGCGCACGAGAAAAGAGTGCGCACAGCGCGCACTTTCCTGCATGCCGCTTTTTTCATTTAATGACGGCGTTTTGCTTTTTTACCCTTTTATTTTCGCTCCGAAACAGCTTTCTGGTGTTTTCAAAAACGTTGAAGCAAAAACTGAAAAAAATAATCCGAGAAAAATATATAGCTGATTCACGGCTGGCTTGAGCCATCGAGCAAATGGTCCTGCCACGAAAAGAGACGAGACAGTGTCCTGGTTGGTGGAGAGTGCAGACAGGCCACGCCTTTTTGCGTCCCAAGCTAGCCGTTAATCTTCTATAATTATAATTTGAAAATTGAGCATCTTGGTTTTTTTCTGCCTTTATTTTATTTTTTCAAGGTCCTCTTTTTCAGAGCAACATGTCGTGTAACTATGAATCCAGAACGGATATCCACCCGTTCGCCTTCCGAACCCATACCCACGCCATGGGAAGGGCCGTCTCGGCCTTTTTCAAGCACAACGGCGTCTGGACCAAGATCGGCCATCGAAACCCCCAATGGCCTCAGGTTTTTGGACTTTCTAAAGCTTCTGGTCGCATTTAGAATGGCTCAAAGATAACCAGGAAACTTTTTTTAAAAAAAGAAAAGTTCACTAGTAAGAAATTAGGGTTCCCATGTGTGTGTGTGGACTATCCTAACGAGGTTAGTAACTTCCCTTCAAATTTGGATTTTTTCAATTCAAATATTGTCTTTGATAAGCCAGGTCCTGAAAATCTAGTTTCCAGAATAAAGTATGAAAATGACCTATTTGACGAGATTTTGATGGTTTTCTTGGATTTGGAACCATTTTCGCTTTTGAAATAGCGAATTTTTGCAATTTGAGACTTTTTAATCTTTATTTAGTAGCAAATTTCAAGTTGTACCTGAAAGTTGACTGGATTTTTTTTCCTCAATTTCGCTCTTAAAAATTTTTCTTTGATCTCAAAACTGAGCCATTCTCGGTGCGGCCAAAATTTTAAAAAAAATCAGTTAAAACTCAGTTATTGAATGAGATACATTTTAGCTCTTCGAATCGATTCCCGACAAGCTGACGATCACCAAAAACGATTTAATGGCGGCCTCGTGTCGATTCGATTCACATGACAAAACTGTCACTGTTCGCATGGGGTGGGACTTTTTTTATTTATTTTTCAGAGCAGATTCTCGAAAATACGGACACTTGACATATATATCAAGCTTATCTATCATTTTTGATACAAAATAGGGGATTTTTTTCAGTGTTTTATTATAAATATGAAACAAATTTGACATTTCAAAAAAAGGAAATTTCAAAAACAGCGAGAAAAAAATTCAAAGTAAGGATTTTTTTGGTGATTTTTTTGACAAATAACTCATTTTTTTCCAGTTATTTAATGAATTTTATTCAAAGTTATGTGACCTTAGCAAGCGGCGAATGTGCTATTTCTATGAGAAAAAGCTAATAATTCTAAATAAAATCGAGAATTTTTCTTTTTTCCGCTGAATTTGAAGGTTTAAAAAGACTAAAGTTTGACTTTTTAGCCTAAATCTTTCGATTTTCCGAAGATCCGTGTCGGTTTTTTTGAACGGAAATATTGAGAAAAAAACTTATTTTGAAATTATTTTTTTCGTGATTTTTATCCATTAAAAAAATCATTATACAAAAAGAATTTCGCGAAAAAAAGTTCAAAAAAATTATCAAAAAAATCAATAAAATGGTCATTTTTCAAAATACCTATATTGATTTTTGCGATTATTTGCATGAAGTGTCAAATTAAAGGCAATGTTTAGCGTATTTCGAAAATCCACGAATATATATTTTTTTTCAGAGCCATGGGAATCGATGAGATGTGTAATTTCTACATGATGTACTATTACGATTCGAATCAGGAGAATCCCTATCCCCGTGGGGCCGTCTGTGGCGGTCTTGTGGTCAGAATCCGCTTTTTTTAAATCTCAATTCTATATGGAAAAACGTCTTGAAATGTTCAAAATGGAAAATCAAGCGTAAAATTAAGGTTTTGATAGTTTTTAAGCTTCACGTAGCCTTTATTTGGGTTTTTAGAAAGTTTTTAGTGTGATTGGGTTGATTTCATATACTGAGCAAAGTCGGATTGGTGGGTAATGGCCGCTAAAAAGGGAGAGGCTCGAAAATGGCTGCAGAAAAGCTGCAAAAAGGGCAGCAAAAAGGCCCCAAAAAGGCGGCAAAAAGGCAGCAAAAAGTCTGCAAAAAAGGCTGCAAAAAGGCCGCAAAAAGGGCAGCAAAAAGGTCGCAAAAAGGCCCTAAAAGGCCCCAGAAAGGCAGCAAAAAGGCCGCAAAAAGGCTGCAAAAAGGTCGCAAAAAGACCCTAAAAAAGCAGCGAAAAGGCCGCAAAAGGTAGCAAAAAGGGTCCCTCCATTGAGCCTGCCATTTTTCTGGGACTTCAAAGGCTCAAGAAATGGTGGAAAAATGGAGAGGCAGCAAAAATGGTGCATAAGAGCATATGAAATGGCGCAAAAAGGCTGTAAAAAGGAACCTTTGTCATCCTAAAAGGAACATTTTTATAGTGCCTATTCCATCCTTTCCGACTTTGCCTATGTTATTTTTTTCTCAAGAAGCGCCGAAAAGAAATTTTTTAGTAGCTCAAAAATTGATTTTTCGTATGAAATAGCTTTTTTCCAATCCGAAAGAAAAAATCATAACATTTTTTCCAGGAAAACTCCATGAAAGATTACCCGACCCAAGGGTTTTCACTTCTTTCTTCCCATCCGGAACTCGAGCATCATGCTCATCAGAGCAAGGTAAATATTAGAAAAATTGAGCACAGTATATAGGGCTTGTCTATTTGAAAAAAAGGTTTAGAAATCGATATCGATGTATATTTTATAGTTATATCCGATTCTATCAAGAAAAAAACTTCTGAAAAAGTTGAAAATGAATTTTTCTGATTCTGTATTTTTGCATCCTATTTTTCATGTAATTTTTGTACTCTTTTTCATAAAATTAATTTTTTTAGGTGAAAAAAAGTCATGCTACAAGGAAAAATTGAGGCATATCAGAAGAAAAATTGTAGAAAAATCGTTTTCCACTAAATTTTTCCATTAAGAAGCCCTTTCCTACTATTTTAAATTTATTTCGAGAAAAGCTTCCCAATTTTGATGAACTTGATGTAAAAAGCGGAACAATTTTTCAAATTGGCCATGGAGCGAACTTTCCCAAAAATATGATTATTGCTTTGTTTCCCGATAATGATACGTGTATTAAAAAACGTCAAGCATTCCCAAAAAATATTAAGTTTTCATTTCGCCTTGTTTTTTTCTACAGTAGAAATCATACTGTGGGACTTTTCGAGAAATATTCCATTTTAGAAAAATGAGAAACCAAAACTTCGAGTTGGCTATAGAGCGAAGTTCCGTCAAATTTTAGCTATAAAATATTTTCCACATAGTAGAAATCGCCCCGAAAAACATTAACTTTTTGCATTCGCCTCATTCCAGACGGCCTTCGGAATCGTCCAAGTGGCCCGTCACACAAAAATCGAAGATGTTCCTCTGGGACAAGTCTCCGGTCTTTCCTTCGACAATCAGGGGAACCTCATCGTTTTCCATCGAGCTCATCGCGTTTGGGGAGCCGAGTGAGCGAGAATATTCGATTTTTGGAAGATATTTTTGCCCTGATTCTGAAGGAATAAGATTGAAGGATTTTCAAAAAATGAGAAAAATTGGAGAAAAAACAAATTAACGGTTCTGAAACGATAATTTTGACGATATTAGATGGAAAAAAGCCGTTTTTTCGTAACCTGTAAGCCAACTTTTGCCTGAAACCTTAGAATTGGCGGCACTTTCAAGATTTGAATTTGCATTTTGAACCATTCCAAATGCGACCAGATTTTGTCAAATCGTGTTTCAGTACTTTCGACCAATACAACGTCCTTTCCGACAAAACTCCAATAAAAGACGATGTAATCCTCGTCGTCTCCTACAGTGGCAACTCGACGAAAATCGTCAAGAAACTCGGCAAAAATCAGTATAAATCCTTGCAAATCTCGAAAAAAGAGGAAATTTTCAAGATTCTACATGCCCCATGGGATTTACGTCGATAAGGAAGGACTCTTGTACACTACGGACGTTGGGTCGCACACCGTCGCCAAGTGGAGAATCGATGGGAATGGTTGGTTTGAGGGAAAATCATTAGGGGAGAAAAAGAGGGGGGTTTAAAGAATGTAACGAAACTATGTGATAAAAAAACTAATAAAAAGAACAGCAAATGACGGTTTTTTCCTATTTTTTTCCCTCAATTATTGATTTTTTTCCAGGACCTTTCCATAGCATTATGATTTTTTTGTTTTTAAATTTTTATTTTTCCAAGGTTTTTTTGGTTGGAGTTCATAGATATTCTAGAACGTGCCCCCCCCTGTTTTTTTCCGGATTATTAGGGTTCAAAATTGACGAAAAATCAATTAGAAGGTGTTTTTCTTGAAAACTCTAGGAAAAAAATTGCGAGCTTTGCAAGGAGATCTTACTAGTTAGGAATTTACCGTACTTAGGAACTCCAGAGGCCACTGAACCTCGAAAAAGTGGTCCCTATAGGGGTTATAGTGGCCCCTCTAGGGGACATTTTAATGCGGAAATAAACTTTTTGAACGAAATGGTAAGACCCCTATAGGGACCACTTAAGCTTTAGAGGCTAAGGGGTGAGATCATAACCCCCCCCCCCTACCTCTATAGGGTCCACTTTAAAATTCCTAGGTTTATTTGATTGGAAAATTAATTTTTCCAGACCTTGTGAAAGTCTGGGAGAACGGCGAGATTCTGATGCCGGACTCGGATGACACGCACTTCTGCAAACCGACCGGCGTCGTCCGTGTCGGAGATCGAATTTTCGTCTCTGATGGATACTGTAACAGTCGCGTTGTCATACTGGATTTGAATGGAAAACGGATTGTTCGTTTTTCTCATGGGCATTGAAAATTAGGAAAAAATGATTGAAATGCTCCCTAGAGCGCTCTCATTTGATAAGAGAAAAATAATTTGGATTTTTTGAGCCACCGAACTTTAAAAATGTTAAAATCCCCGTTTAAATCGATCAATAAGAAAATGTGCCTTAATTTTCGCTTTTTCTGAAATTAGAGTGCGCTAGAGCACATTTTCAGCAAATTTTCATTGATTTTGAAAAAAAGGCGGTCCTTTAAATGCCAATCAAGAAAAATCAATCGAAAAATTGAATTTTTCAATATTTTCTAAAGAGAAAGAGTGCTCTATTGCACAAATGAGTTGTTTAAAAAAATTTCTTTTTTTGGATTTTTTTCGAAAATTTATCAGAGTTTTTTTGTATGTACTAAGATTCAGATAGTTCCAACCTGCATATTTTAATTTTTTTCGAAAATAAAAGGCTTGAAAATTAGGTGATTTTTTTCCAATGGAGACCTTATATCTCGAAAAATAGATAGTTTTTGTAGTTTGTAACTTCTAGTATAATAGTTGGGCACATCAAGGAGTTTCTGAGCCTATTTTCAGAAAATCTCAAAGTTCAAGGTAAATTACCTACCTTTTGGATACTTAATTTACGTTGTATTCTGTTATAATGTTTTTCTTGTCTCAAGGGAAAATTCGGCCTCCCCGGAATTGGTCCAACTCAATTCGAGCTCCCCCACGACATTGTCGCCAATGATCGCGGAAACCTGCTGATCGCAGATCGGGAGAATGGACGGGTTCAGGAGCTGACCACCGAGGGGAAGTTCGTCGGCGAGTACAGATCCAGGTTTTTTTTTTCCTTTATTCTATGAAAAATTATTCCTTTCAGCCTATTTTCCAATGTTTACTCGGCTGATGCGTTTGGTAATTACGTCTACATGGTTCCGGGACGAGCGGTGAGTTTTTAGGCGGGAAAGTGCGCTCCATTGATAATTTGATTGATAGGAAAAATTCGAAAAAAATTAATCAAAGGCGCTCTATCGATAATTTGATTAGGAGAATAAAAGGCCCGATCTAGAAAAATTGATTTAAGTGCGCTCCATTGATAATTTTATAGGGAAGAATAAAAGGAGCGATTTGAAAAATTGATTAAAAATGCGCTTCATTGATGATTTGATTGAGAAGAATAAAATGACCGATTTGAAAAATTAATCAAAGTGCGCTCCATTGATAATTCGATTGGGAAAAATAGGACCGATTTGAAAAATTAATCAAAGTGCGCTCCATTGATAATTCGATTGGGAAAAATAGGACCGATTTGAAAAATTAATCAAAGTGCGCTCCATTGATAATTCGATTGAGAAAAAAATAAAATAACGGATTTGGAAAATTAATCAAAGTGTGCTCCATTGATAATTTGATTGGGAAGAATAAAAGGGCCGATTTGGAAAAATTGAATCAAGTGCGCTCCATTGATAATTTTTAAAGGGAAGAATTAAAGGGCGGATTTAAAAAAAATTGATCAAAATGCGCTCTATTGATAATTTTAAAGGGAAGAATTAAAGGGCGGATTTAATAAAAAAATTGATCAAAATGCGCTCTATTGATAATTCGAATGAACAGAAAATAAGGTCCGAACAAATTCACGAAAAGAGCCTTTAAGGGACCACTTGAGGTGACATTACCAAGTGGTCACTTTAGTATCCTTCTCATGGACAAGGTTTTCTTTTCTTTTTTTCATCTGGAAAAAACCAGAAATATCGATTCGGAAAACAACTCTTAAGAGATCACTTGAAGGATTTAGAGTAGATTCTTAAGCGGTTATTTACTTTTGAGGAATATTTGTAAGTTCCCTTTAGTGGCCACTTGAAACGGGATCGGAAAAATTTTATACTTTTTTCGAGCGACTGGGATTGAACTTGAAGGTGGACTAATCGAAAAAATAAAACACTCTAGGGGCCACTTGAGATATACTCAGGAAGTGGTCGGAATTCATTGTGTGAAAATTTTTTTTCGAAGCACTTTTGGAAGAATAGGTGTAGTCCGTTTATGGCGACTTGAAACTGCTGTTTTTCTCTGCGCCCTCCTCGTCTCTCGGCGACCCTCTCATTTTTACGTGCTGTTTCCATGTTTCTCTGACTTCGCCGGTGAGGGAACAGAGAGACGCAGACAGTGTCAAGTCGCGACGAACGGACTATACCTCTTAAGAGGAACCTTGAGAAGCGAAAAAGCGGCTATAGTCTGTTCAAAATTCAAATGTCAAGTCCTCGTTCAAGCTCCGCCCCCTAATGGCGCGATAAACTAATCAGAGAGCGTGTTCGAATGACGTCATTCTACTTGACATTCAAATTCTGAACGGACTATACTTGCCCCATTAAGTGACCACTTTTGATTCCTATTTACCACAGAGCGAGAACCACGCCTCGGACGGTATCGCAGTGTTTGCCGGTCGCGCCGGCAAAGGCCTCGTCGAATTCGCGTTCGGCCCGTCGCAGCGAGGACCCCGCGAGACGGTCGGCGTCCAATTCGGACAGCCCCACAGCCTGCGACTCTGCCCCGACGGCGATAACGTCTTCATCGGCGATATCGCGCAGGGCAAAGCCACCCTCTGGCATTTCAAGGTGACTCGCGAGTGAAAAAATCCTGCTTTTTTGTCCTTGTGTCTTGTCCATGGTTGCACTCCCTGCATGATTTTTTTTTCCCAACACAGATTTTTAATAAGACTATAAACGGCTTTTGAAGAAATTCTGTGTTTTTTCAAGGTTACAAGCATGATTTTTTGAACTTTATCGATTTGGCGGAGCTTAAATTGTGCATACACCGAAAGCGGTTTTGCGGACAATAATTTGATCAAAAATATTTTTTGTGAATAACTGCATGCGCATTTGATGGGGAGGTATGCTGTTCAAGCTTACAAGCACGATTTTTGAATTTTCGACTTGGCGAGAGTTGAGATTGTGCATACACCGAACCCGATTTCGCGGATGATATATTGATCAAAAATATTTTTTTCTGTGTATAGCTGCATGTGAACTTGATGGGAAGGTTTAGCCTGTAGATTATAATGTTAATCTGCTAACCCAGCCCCCGTGGATACGGTATTCTTCGCGTCGAAGTCCTATCTCACACGTGATCATTAACTTTTAATAGCGCCATTTATTTTTCTTGACAGCCTGAAAAGAAAAATTGAAAATTGGGGCGCTATTAATGCCGTGTTCAAAGTAATTTCGCGACATGCAAAATGATCTCTGACTCTCCAAAATTTAGTTATATTTTTCTTTCTCTGACGGCTATTTTGCATTTCGCGAAATTACTTTGAACACGGCATAAATGATCATTGTCAGGTGCGATGAAACATCGACGCGAAAGATACCGTAGCCACGGATGCGGAGCCACCTGCTTGATATTTGAAATCTGAAGAGATTCTAATTTCCCATCAAATTCGCATGCAGTTTCATATGGAAAAACTCGTTTTTATGAATTTATCGTCCGCAAAATTGCGTTTGGTGTATGCACACTTTTACCTTGAAATCCCGCCAAATGGATATAATTCAAAAAAATTCGCTGAAAATCGTGTTTAATTATAATAACGGCAAATGAAGTACTCGTTTTTGTGCCTTCCATGATTTTTTTAAAGTTCACGTTATACTTCTTGTTTTTCTTGTTCAAACTGTTCTCAAATGCACGCTCTTCTACTTGTTGCTTGCCTTTTTTGTTGTCTGTGTGTGTTTTTCAGAAAATAAATAACTTGTGAACGAATTAAACTCTCTGTTTGTACTAAAAAGGACCCTGCCCCATTTTCTTATATTTTTCGTGAATTTATTCAAAAAATGTTGAGATCCAACACGACGCCGAAGCCCACGCGCCTCTGGTTTCCCAAAAATCGGCAATAGTCGCTCCAAGTCGGGCCTTCTCCATCACGTTGGTCTTCTTCGCCGCCGCCATCTGTACGATCGGCTTTTTCGTCATTTCGAAACGGTGCAAGAACTTGAAAAAAACGCCGGTGCCGGCTTTGATAAAAAGGCAAGATTTTTTTAATTATTATAAAAAAATTTTTTTGTGAGAATTTTTTTGACTTATTCTTAAATTTCTTCGAAAATTCTCATTATGGTCCGTTCTTCCTCGACTTGAAACAGCTTTTCTCTGTGCCCTCCTCGTCTCTAGGCGACTCTCTCATGTTGCCGTGCTATTTTCCGTTTCTCTGACCTCGCAAGGGAACAGAGAGACGCAGACACTCGGAAATTTTCAATTCGCGGCGAAAGGACTAATAGAAGCTTAAAAATCGGCCGATTATTTTCCGAACCATGATTTTCCGAACCAAAATCCGAACCAATGCTTAGGCGAACCAATGATTAGACGAACCACCTCATGCTTACCAGAACCAAAAGTTTTTATGATTCGCCGAACCAAATGTCGGTATTTTATGTAGATGTTCATGGTAATCGGTTTTCGTTTCTCGCATCCTAAGAGACCGAGAATATGAAGTCTAGCGCTCCATCCTTTTCCGAATCGTTATATAACTTTCCGACCTAACCTTTTTTTATGCTTTTTCGAGCCGTACTTCGATTCATTTTTCAGAAAGCACCTTTCTTTAGATCTGCTCATTTTTGATCGGTTCTATGTAATTTTTTTCGCCCATAACCGGCTTTCAGCTTTACCCTTGACTATTTAGATACCTCTGTTCAGATCAGATTCTTTCAAAAATTTGTTTGATTCCAACCCAAGTTTGAAATTGGAAGTATCTGGTCTATGACTTCTTTTGAAGTCGTCTGACGAAGAGATGCTATCAGCTCATAGTGGGACTTCTGAATGAGACCATGTTTTCCAGGTGTAGTTTTTCATGCTGATTTCAAATCCGGTCTCAAAAGCTGCCACCGGAGTCTGTGAAAAAAGTTATGGACCCTCAAATGTCGAAAATTTCATAGTCTCCGATCGAGCTCATTTTTCTGAACGGTATGTAGATCCTGTGTGAGCGTAGAAATGAAGTCGGCACAGATACTGCCAAGTGTCCTAATCTTGGGATGAATTTTCAGATTTTCTAAATTTTTTTGATTATTTTTTCTCAGTCAGTCAATCATTTTATAGTTTTAGTCACAGATATTATCGACTGAGCTGTGTGCAAGAGCTTTTGAAGCCCCATTCAAAATCGTCTCAGGCGAATTTGATGTCCAAATTTGTAGTCCAAAGAGTTGAAAGCATTGTCTGACGGTCCTCCTTCTGATCATAGTTAATCCTGTTGCGCTATGACGAGCTCACTTTTTGAAAAGCATGGAGATCGTGTTCTAGGTCAAATCCCAAACTTATAGTTTGTAGATTAATCTCAGGTTTTTTCCTGGCTGGAAATTTATGAAATAATTGCTAAGTTTTTTTTCTGTATATTGTCAGATATTTTTCTACTGTCAATTTCTGAACAGGTTTCGCATTAGCGCGGGCGATAGTCATTTAAAAATAGCTCCGCGAGATTTATGCCGTGTTCAAAGTAATTTCCGCGAAATGCGAAATTGTCTCTGACCCTCCAAAATTTAGTTATCTTTCTCTTTCTCTGACGGCATTACCTAATAAATGAGCTTGACTAAAACTAGTTCTCAGTCGTTGCATACATAGAACTATTCAGAAAATCAGCTAACGGCTTTATTAGTAGAAAAATTCATTTATTTTTTTCAATTTTTAAATTTTTCCAATAATTCAAAACGCGTCTCCAGAAGAAATCTTATCTTTTTCAGATGGTTACACAGTCTAAGAACCACTTCGAAATACATTCAGAGTTCAGAGTGTGTTGCGAAACAGTATTTGCAAACGGTCACGCGGAAGAGGACACTCAAGCAGAATTCACCCATCCGAGAACCCATCAAGCTGTTTTCTTTCGAACTTCAGTAGTTTCATCCGAAACATGCGAAACGAAAAAAAAAAATCAAAGCCCAAGCTCATTGACTTTATCAATTGAGAACTTCCGATTAACATTGAAAAACTGGAGCACTAAGAGATCGAAGTTTTTAAAAAACGAAAAAGGAAAAAAAAAGACTGTATTAAAGGGTCTGAGGAGGTCCCAAAGACTCTGAAAGCTTTCTCGAAAACCATTGATATAATTTTCTTCAGTCTTGAGAACGAGTGACAAGAAGTGCGATAAAAATCCTCCGAATAAAAAAACATTTCAAAAAGATCTCTGGCTCTCCAAAACCTTCGTCTTTTTGACGGTCTTTTCGCTGGAATCACTTCGAAAGCGGTATAAAGACACGACACTCCTTTTCCCGATATGATTATTCAAACTTTGAAAAGCTTGATTGACATGAAAAATTGATGCGAAAAATTTAACTTTTGGGCCTAAAAAATTTTTTTTGGGAACAAGTGAAAAACTTTGATAAAAATTTTAAAACATCAATTTTTCTCATTGTAGAACATCAGTGGTTAGAATATCTGAATAAAAAAAATATATAAAATACAAAGCTAAATCATCCAAATTTTAGGCCAGATTTTTTAATGGAGATTCAGCGTCGATAATTTTAAGTAATTTCATTGTAGAAAGAAAAAACCCATAATGTAAAAAGTCAAAATGATAAAAGCAAAGAAGAGCAGAAAAAAACACGCCAAAAAGCTTATTTCTGGCGACGGAAAGACAAAAATTTTTCGAAAACTGGCAATTATCCAAGTGTACGGGAACATAGGGTCCCAAAGCGATGAGACAGCGCGCCAAAAACTCTTGGCGCCTGCTTAAATTACGTTTTTTTAGTTGTGTTTTTTTCTTCAATGTTTCTTTTTTTCAATTCTTGTGTTTTTTCTTTTATAGTTTCATCAATTATTTCTTGATATTAGTATTTTGTTATGCTCATTGTTTTTTTTATCACATTTATACGCAGGTTTCACATCGTTTCAAGAAACATTTTAGGCCCAAAAATTTAATATCGATTTTTCGTCAATTAAATGTTTTTATTTGATTTCTCTATCAAGATTCATGAATATTGCATATTATTTTTGGCAAAAAAATATTACCGTGTCATAACGACTGTAAATTTAAATTTTTTTAATTTGAAAACTTTCTTTCTTTTTATCCTCATGATTTCAAAAAAAGGCTATCAAGGGATTTTTCAGAGAGCTTCCAGAGTTTCTGAGACCTTTCGAGACCCCTTAATACAGCCTTTTTTTCGGAGAATCTCAATTGATAAAGTCAATGAAATTGGGCTTTAATTTTTTCGCCTGCTTCGGAAGAAACCAGTGAAGTTCGGTAGAACAGCTTGATGGGTGCTCAAATGCCTGAATTCTGCTTTGAGACTCTTCTTCCGCGTGACCGTCTGCAAAATCTTGTTTCGCGAAACACTCTGAACTCTGAATGAATTTCGAAGTGGAAAACTGATTCAAAATTCAAAGCCGATAGCCGATTTTTTTTGCATTCTGAATAGTTCTATGTACGCAACGACTGAGAACTAGTTTTTAGTCAAGCTTTTTTTATTAGGAAAATCTCGCGAAGCTATTCTCAAATGACTGTCACCGTCGATCTCGAAAAAAACGCTCAGAAATGGACAGTCGAATCGCCATCTGACAATTTACAGAAAACAAAAAAACTTGGCAATAATTTCAAAAAGTTCTAACTAGAGAAAAAAACTGAGATTGAACTATAAATTATGAGCTTTTAGAACAGTTTTTGAAAAAAATGAACTGTAAGTTCTGTTCTTAGAAAAAGGTTTGAGAAGGCCTAAAGATCAGCTCTTCTTTTTAAAAACACTTCACTAGAAGTGATATCTTTCATTTCAAAAAAATTTCACCTAAAGCACGAGCTTCGCGCGTGAAACGAGGAACCGTCAGACAATTATATCCTATTCTTCGACTACAAATTTGGACTTCCAGTTTGATGAAGTTTGAGAAGCTCTTGCATCCAGCTCAGTCGATAATATATGTGACTAAACAACGAAATAAATGACTGACTGAAAAATAGGTAAAAAATATAAACACTAATGCCAAGATTAGGACACTTGGCAGTATCTGTGGCGACTTCATTTCTACTCTCAGACGACCCTAAAAGAAAGTCATAGACCAGATACTTCCAATTTCAAACTTGGGTTGGAATCAAACAAATTTTTGAAAGAATCTGATCTGAACAGAGGTATCTAAATAGTCAAGGGTAAAGCTGAAAGCCGGTTATGGGCGAAAAAAATTACATAGAACCGATCAAAAATGAGCAGATCTAAAGAAAGGTGCTTTCTGAAAAAAATGAATCGAAGTACGGCTCGAAAAAGCATAAAAAAAGGTTAGGTCGGAAAGTTATATAACGATTCGGAAAAAGGATGGAGCGCTAGACTTCATATTCTCGGTCTCTTAGGATGCGAGAAACGAAAACCGATTACCATGAACATCTACATAAAATACCGACATTTGGTTCGGCGAATCATAAAAACTTTTGGTTCTGGTAAGCATGAGGTGGTTCGTCTAATCATTGGTTCGCCTAAGCATTGGTTCGGATTTTGGTTCGGAAAATCATGGTTCGGAAAATAATCGGCCTAAAAATCAGTATAACTTTGTTGAAAATATCTGATTTCTCTGCTCCCTCTTCTCTCTCAACGACTCTCTCTTGCCTCATCGGTGAGAGAGAAGAGAGCGCAGACACTCGGAAATTTTCAATTCGCGGCGAAAGGACTATTAGAAGCTTGAAAATCAGTATAACTTTGTTGAAAATATCTGATTTCTCTGCTCCCTCTTCTCTCTCAACGACTCTCTCTTGCCTCATCGGTGAGAGTGAAGAGAAGCCAGAGAGGTCAGACAGTTTCAAGTCCCGGAAACATTTTTTTTCGGTTTTGACTCGTTGGACTTTATTTCATGACTGTCTGATTTCTCTGCTCCCTCCTCCACCTCATCGGGGAGAGAGAAGAGAAGCCAGACAGGTCAGAAAATCCTCTAGAATCAAGTACACATTTTTTTTGATAAATTCGAATTTTTCAGGGTTTCAAACCTTTACGAACGGAAGAAACGGTCGGATTCATCAGTGATGGCTCAGAGAGCGATTGAATTAATAATTTATGAAAAAAATATATATATTTACTAGACTTTGGTTGAGGTTTTAGTACTTCCATTACTTACTTTTTAATAATTTGACTAACCTTCCTGTAGATTTCTCTATTCATGTGTGTATATTTTGCATCTTCTCACTATTGCCAAAAAAAAATCGAATTTTCTTTTTCCTGTGGGTTTTCCGTTCTTTGTCTGACATATCTTCTACTTGTGGTTGTGAAAAATCTGATTTCTCTCGGTTTTTTGGGTGCATTTTTCCTGCTTTTTGTTGGTTGTGAGATTATATCTTCAGTATTGCTTGTGTTTACTTATTCGTGTCATTCCTTGAAAAAGACTTTTATTGAAAGATAAAATTGGTTGTGTTGCTTTTTTGCAAACTGAGCGTATTTTTCTCAATTTCGAACAGAAATTTTCTTTTTTGAGGCAAGATAGTAGCCCGGCGAAACTCGTGGCGCCGGACAGGACTCGCATGGCCACGGCTCTCCTTTTGCGCCTGAAAATTGCATAAATAGCTTTGAAATTTTGAAAATATGTAGTTTGCTCCATGCATCGTGAACCTTAAGTGACCGCTTCAGTCCAATTTCAGGCGCTGCCAAATTTTCGAGATGCTGACTTTAGGCGCTGCCAAACTCTCGAGAAGCTGACTTTAGGCGCTGCCAAACTCTCGAGAAGCTGACTTTAGGCGCTGCCAATTTTTCGAGAAGCTGACTTTTAGGCGCTGCCAATTTTTCGAGAAGCTGACTTTTAGGCGCTGCCAATTTTTCGAGAAGCTGACTTTTAGGCGCTGCCAATTTTTCGAGAAGCTGACTTTAGGCGCTGCCAATTTTTCGAGAAGCTGACTTTTAGGCGCTGCCAAATTCTCGAGATGCTGACTTTAGGCGCTGCCAAACTCTCGAGAAGCTGACTTTAGGCGCTGCCAATTTTTCGAGAATCTGACTTTTAGGCGCTGCCAACTTTTCGAGAAGCTGACTTTTAGGCGCTGCCAATTTTTCGAGAATCTGACTTTTAGGCGCTGCCAACTTTTCGAGAAGCTGACTTTTAGGCGCTGCCAATTTTTCGAGAAGCTGACTTTTAGGCGCTGCCAACTTTTCGAGAAGCTGACTTTTAGGCGCTGCCAATTTTTCGAGAAGCTGACTTTAGGCGCTGCCAATTTTTCGAGAATCTGACTTTTAGGCGCTGCCAATTTTTCGAGAAGCTGACTTTAGGCGCTGCCAATTTTTCGAGAATCTGACTTTTAGGCGCTGCCAAATTCTCGAGAAGCTGACTTTAGGCGCTGCCAATTTTTCGAGAAGCTGACTTTTAGGCGCTGCCAATTTTTCGAGATGCTGACTTTAGGCGCTGCCAAACTCTCGAGAAGCTGACTTTAGGCGCTGCCAAATTCTCGAGATGCTGACTTTAGGCGCTGCCAAACTCTCGAGAAGCTGACTTTAGGCGCTGCCAATTTTTCGAGATGCTGACTTTTAGGCGCTGCCAAATTCTCGAGATGCTGACTTTAGGCGCTGCCAATTTTTCGAGAATCTGACTTTTAGGCGCTGCCAATTTTTCGAGAAGCTGACTTTTAGGCGCTGCCAATTTTTCGAGAAGCTGACTTTAGGCGCTGCCAATTTTTTTCGAGAAGTCTGACTTTTAGGCGCTGCCAATTTTTTTCGAGAAGCTGACTTTAGGCGCTGCCAAATTTTTCGAGAATGCTGACTTTTAGGCGCTGCCAAATTTCTCGAGATGCTGACTTTAGGCGCTGCCAAATTTTTCGAGAAGCTGACTTTTAGGCGCTGCCAAATTTTTCGAGAAGCTGACTTTAGGCGCTGCCAATTTTTCGAGAGCTGACTTTTAGGCGCTGCCAAATTTTTCGAGAAGCTGACTTTTAGGCGCTGCCAATTTTTTTTCGAGAAGCTGACTTTTAGGCGCTGCCAAATTTTTCGAGAAGCTGACTTTTAGGCGCTGCCAAATTCTCGAGATGCTGACTTTTAGGCGCTGCCAAATTTTCTCGAGATGCTGACTTTAGGCGCTGCCAATTTTTTTCGAGAAGCTGACTTTAGGCGCTGCCAAATTTTTCGAGAAGCTGACTTTTAGGCGCTGCCAAATTTCTCGAGATGCTGACTTTTAGGCGCTGCCAAATTCTCGAGATGCTGACTTTTAGGCGCTGCCAAATTCTCGAGATGCTGACTTTAGGCGCTGCCAAATTCTCGAGATGCTGACTTTTAGGCGCTGCCAAATTCTCGAGATGCTGACTTTAGGCGCTGCCAATTTTTCGAGAAGCTGACTTTTAGGCGCTGCCAAATTCTCGAGATGCTGACTTTTAGGCGCTGCCAAATTCTCGAGATGCTGACTCTTAGGCGCTGCCAAATTCTCGAGATGCTGACTTTAGGCGCTGCCAAATTCTCGAGAAGCTGACTTTAGGCGCTGCCAATTTTTCGAGAAGCTGACTTTAGGCGCTGCCAATTTTTCGAGAAGCTGACTTTTAGGCGCTGCCAATTTTTCGAGAAGCTGACTTTTAGGCGCTGCCAATTTTTCGAGAAGCTGACTTTTAGGCGCTGCCAAATTCTCGAGATGCTGACTTTAGGCGCTGCCAATTTTTCGAGAAGCTGACTTTTAGGCGCTGCCAATTTTTCGAGATGCTGACTCTTAGGCGCTGCCAAATTCTCGAGATGCTGACTTTAGGCGCTGCCAATTTTTCGAGAAGCTGACTTTAGGCGCTGCCAAATTTTTGAGAAGCTGACTTTTAGGCGCTGCCAAATTCTCGAGATGCTGACTTTTAGGCGCTGCCAAATTCTCGAGATGCTGACTTTTAGGCGCTGCCAATTTTTCGAGAAGCTGACTTTAGGCGCTGCCAATTTTTCGAGAAGCTGACTTTAGGCGCTGCCAATTTTTCGAGAAGCTGACTTTTAGGCGCTGCCAAATTTTCGAGAAGCTGACTTTTAGGCGCTGCCAAATTTTCGAGAAGCTGACTTTTAGGCGCTGCCAAATTTTCGAGAAGCTGACTTTTAGGCGCTGCCAAATTCTCGAGATGCTGACTTTTAGGCGCTGCCAAATTCTCGAGATGCTGACTTTTAGGCGCTGCCAATTTTTCGAGAAGCTGACTTTTGGCGCTGCCAAATTTTCGAGAAGCTGACTTTTAGGCGCTGCCAATTTTTCGAGAAGCTGACTTTAGGCGCTGCCAATTTTTCGAGAAGCTGACTTTTAGGCGCTGCCAAATTTTCGAGAAGCTGACTCTTAGGCGCTGCCAAATTCTCGAGATGCTGACTTTAGGCGCTGCCAATTTTTCGAGAAGCTGACTTTTAGGCGCTGCCAATTTTTCGAGAAGCTGACTTTTAGGCGCTGCCAAATTCTCGAGATGCTGACTTTAGGCGCTGCCAAACTCTCGAGAAGCTGACTTTAGGCGCTGCCAATTTTTCGAGAATCTGACTTTTAGGCGCTGCCAATTTTTCGAGAAGCTGACTTTTAGGCGCTGCCAATTTTTCGAGAAGCTGACTTTAGGCGCTGCCAATTTTTCGAGAATCTGACTTTTAGGCGCTGCCAAATTCTCGAGATGCTGACTTTAGGCGCTGCCAATTTTTCGAGAAGCTGACTTTTAGGCGCTGCCAAATTCTCGAGATGCTGACTTTAGGCGCTGCCAAATTTTCGAGAAGCTGACTTTTAGGCGCCGCCAAATTCTCGAGATGCTGACTTTTAGGCGCTGCCAAATTCTCGAGATGCTGACTTTAGGCGCTGCCAAATTCTCGAGAAGCTGACTTTAGGCGCTGCCAATTTTTCGAGAAGCTGACTTTAGGCGCTGCCAATTTTTCGAGAAGCTGACTTTTAGGCGCTGCCAAATTCTCGAGATGCTGACTTTTAGGCGCTGCCAAATTCTCGAGATGCTGACTTTTCAGGCGCTGCCAAATTCTCGAGATGCTGACTTTAGGCGCTGCCAATTTTTTTCGAGAAGCTGACTTTTTGGGCGCTGCCAAATTTTTCGAGAAGCTGACTTTAGGCGCTGCCAATTTTTTTCGAGAAGCTGACTTTTTCAGGCGCTGCCAATTTTTTTCGAGAAGCTGACTTTAGGCGCTGCCAATTTTTTTCGAGAAGCTGACTTTTAGGCGCTGCCAAATTTTTCGAGAAGCTGACTCTTAGGCGCTGCCAAATTCTCGAGATGCTGACTTTAGGCGCTGCCAATTTTTCGAGAAGCTGACTTTTAGGCGCTGCCAAATTTTCGAGAAGCTGACTCTTAGGCGCTGCCAAATTCTCGAGATGCTGACTCTTAGGCGCTGCCAAATTCTCGAGATGCTGACTTTAGGCGCTGCCAATTTTTCGAGAAGCTGACTTTTAGGCGCTGCCAATTTTTCGAGAAGCTGACTCTTAGGCGCTGCCAAATTCTCGAGAAGCTGACTCTTAGGCGCTGCCAAATTCTCGAGATGCTGACTTTAGGCGCTGCCAAATTCTCGAGAAGCTGACTTTAGGCGCTGCCAAATTTTCGAGAAGCTGACTCTTAGGCGCTGCCAAATTCTCGAGATGCTGACTTTAGGCGCTGCCAAATTTTCGAGAAGCTGACTCTTAGGCGCTGCCAAATTCTCGAGAAGCTGACTCTTAGGCGCTGCCAAATTCTCGAGATGCTGACTTTTAGGCGCTGCCAAATTCTCGAGATGCTGACTTTTAGGCGCTGCCAAATTCTCGAGAAGCTGACTTTAGGCGCTGCCAATTTTTCGAGAAGCTGACTTTTAGGCGCTGCCAAATTCTCGAGAAGCTGACTCTTAGGCGCTGCCAAATTCTCGAGATGCTGACTTTAGGCGCTGCCAAATTCTCGAGAAGCTGACTTTAGGCGCTGCCAAATTTTCGAGAAGCTGACTCTTAGGCGCTGCCAAATTCTCGAGATGCTGACTTTTAGGCGCTGCCAATTTTTCGAGAAGCTGACTTTTAGGCGCTGCCAATTTTTCGAGAAGCTGACTTTAGGCGCTGCCAATTTTTTTCGAGAAGCTGACTTTTAGGCGCTGCCAAATTTTTCGAGAAGCTGACTCTTAGGCGCTGCCAAATTCTCGAGATGCTGACTTTAGGCGCTGCCAAATTCTCGAGAAGCTGACTTTAGGCGCTGCCAATTTTTTTCGAGAAGCTGACTTTTCAGGCGCTGCCAAATTTTTCGAGAAGCTGACTTTTAGGCGCTGCCAATTTTTTTCGAGAAGCTGACTTTAGGCGCTGCCAATTTTTTCGAGAAGCTGACTTTTAGGCGCTGCCAAATTTTTCGAGAAGCTGACTCTTAGGCGCTGCCAAATTCTCGAGATGCTGACTTTAGGCGCTGCCAAATTCTCGAGAAGCTGACTTTAGGCGCTGCCAATTTTTTTCGAGAAGCTGACTTTTTAGGCGCTGCCAATTTTTCGAGAAGCTGACTTTTAGGCGCTGCCAATTTTTCGAGAAGCTGATGTTACAGTAGGAATACTATCTTTCTCCGTTCTATTGTATTCATGTGTGAACGATGCTCTAGGCGGGTAATTGCTCCGGCAGACACGCCTGTATCTCACTTGGTTCCCCTGCACGCGTCTTGGCCACACGCGTGTGAGGCTCACGAATAAAGACTTCATGACAGTCTGCCTTCAACACGTCTAAAGCTTACACGGAAGAGCCGGTGACCCTTCCGGTGTAACACTGACTTTTAGGCGCTGCCAATTTTTCGAGAAGCTGACTTTAGGCGCTGCCAATTTTTCGAGAAGCTGACTGTTGGGCTGCCAAATTGATTTTTCCATCTTGAGGAGCACCTAACTTCTAATCAGTAGTGGGTAGCTGTGAAAAAAAAATTTCATTTTTTCTAAATTTCACTGATTCTCAAGTCATTTTTTGTTTCAGCAATCAAAAAAAGGGCGATAATGCAGGAAAATCATTGAAATCAGGGAAAACGCGAAAAAAAAAACTTTTCCGATTAAAAAGCTGCCAGCAAGTCTAAAATGATCCTAGTAACTTTCTCAAACTGACCAGCTGGCCCGAAAGTTCCAGACCCTCCACGCCCGCCGCGTTCTCCCTTCATGCCTTGATAGCCTCGATCGCCTCGCTCTCCAGGAAGCCCTAGAAAAATCAGTAAAGTTGAAGTGAATGAACTATTTCAACCATTTTCTCCACGATGGCCCTCTTTTCCTTTCTCGCCGATTGGTCCTCGAGGTCCAGGCTCGCCTTCTTTTCCCGGCGGACCGTCGGCCACGTAGACCCGGCCTGGCTCGCCGGCTTCTCCCCTCAGGCCATTCGGTCCTGGAAAATCGATCAATAGTCCAATCGATGCTTTTTTGATTTAATCCAAATTCAATTAACTAGGCGAGAAATGAGACGTGCGTTATAAAAACCAATCCCAATGATTCTCTAAAAATTTTTTTCGACTTCGGTTGTTTAAGCGTTTTTCGCATGACGTCACATGGGAACGGCGGGAGTTTTGACCACGCCCCATTGATTTTTGGATTTGCTATTTTCTTCACTTAAAAAAAGCCGTGAAATTGAGATAAAATTTATAATTTCGCAAAAATTACTTTGGACGTGGCGTGGGCCAGAGCGCCGCAGTGTATGCACACGACACACTACAATTTACGGGAAAAAAATATGAGCGGGCCTTTGCCAAAAAACGCCGTGAAATACATTTCCAAAAAAAAATTCAAAGTCTTAATATTGGGGAATCAAAAATGTGACCATTTTGAAAACTTTTATTCTTTGCTTAATAATCTATGGGAGAAAGTTTTGAATGGGATTTTAAATTGACAGATGTCTTGCAATACTCTGAAAAATATTAAAACGGCTTTTCCACTCGAGACCTCTTTTTTTTAAATTATTTCATTTCAGATTACGAAAAACTCTTAAGCCTGTTCAGATTTTGATTTTCAACTAAAATGACGTCATTGGAAAATGCTCAGTGGGTGGCTCGCTCTCTGATTAGTTAATTACGCCATTAGGGGCGGAGCTTGAGCGAGCCACGACCAGGGTGACCGAACCGACTTTCCAAACACAAAAATTACCGTAACTCGAAAATTCCTACAGTAACCCAAGTTGGTATTACTGTAAGAGTTTCTAAAATTTGATTACCTATCGATTGATATATCACTTGCCTAGTAAAAGCTCTTCTCTTTAGATACGCAGGTGCCCACCTGCCTACCGTAACCCGGCTACAGTAAGAGAGAATGGCTCAAAAAGCATTTCTGATGATGGGTCATCACACTGGATGAAGTTTCATCAGAATCATAAAATAAAATTTTTTTTTGTACCTATTGCTATTGAAACTTTTTGAAAATACAGAGATAACTTGTTAACATTCCAAAGCTGACAGGCTATATCAATAAAATGAACCTGGGAATCCTTTCTCTCCTGGAGTTCCTGGTTCTCCTCTGGCGGAAGGAGGTGCCGCGACTCCATGGGCGCCAATCCGACCGTGGTGTCCTTTGGCGCCTTTTGGACCTTGAGGTCCTGGTCTTCTGAAAAAACCCTTTTAAAAGCGAATTTATAGTTTAAAATTGGAAAAAATGTTTCAAAAAAGGTAAAAACCCGGGAGCACCAGTGGGGCAATCGCGGACGCAACGAAGCCTGTCGTCATGCTCCGCCGGACGGCCCATTCTGCCGGCGTTTCCTAGGAAATATTCATCTTCACCTCTCAAAAAAACAGCTTTGAACTGAGAAAAATAAATGAAGACTTCAAAAACGCATTTATCACAAGGCCGGTCAATATTGCGCAGTCAGTTTCGGAGCCAGAAAATTTTTTAAATTTTCTTTCTTTTTTGCAATTAGTTAAGGACCTATTTCTCGAGGTTACAAGGTAAGTTACGTGGCAAAAAGTACACAAGATTTCATTTTATTGTGGAAAAATGGAATAAAACCGTCAAAAACGCATTTATCAACAAATCATTCCAAAAAACTACCTGGTTCTCCATCAAAACCATCCTTTGAATCGTGGCCCGGGAAGCCTTTCGGACCAGGTGGACCAATACAACAGGCTTAATTCAACGTTCTTATTATTAAAATCAAAGAATGGAAAAATCACAAGCCAGTTCTCTTTTTTGGCGAATTGCCCCGTGTATTTCCTCCTTCGCGGCTCCCATTCGCTTCCACAGGTCACCGACAATCGTCTGGAATAATTTTTCGTCATTTGTTGGAAGAAGCATGAAAGGAATAGAAAAAATACAAAGTTCAAAAAACTGGGAAATGTTTTAGTGGCCAGTTTAGAGTTTTGACGTTTTAGTGACCACTATAGTAGTCGATTCAGTGGCCACTTAAGGGTTAAAAATTAGTGGTCACTATAAAGATCTAGGGGTTCTACAAGACGACTAAAAATTTTAGTGGCCACTTTAGGGGTCAATTGATCAACATAACTGGTCCAATCTGTTTTTTTTTTCAAAATTATCAGAGTTACTGGAAGGAATAATGGATGAAAAACTACTGAAGAGGCCACTAAAACGGAAAATAATGGCCACTATAGAAGTCGTTTTAGTGGCCACTTTAGTGTCCTCTCCAAGGAGTCCTTAGCAAGCCTCTATAGTGGCCACTAAACATTTTCCCAGAAGCCTCCGTAGCGTGTACTTTTGATGGTTTTTCGGAAAATAAATAAACTTACAGGACAGTGATGGTCCTCCACGACGTGGAAAAGATGTACCGAATGGACCAGAAGCAGTGGACACAATGTAGAAGCCGAAAAAAGGGCCACGACCGAAAGAGCCAAGGCCGTTGTTGGCTTTTCCAGCCACGACGAGAATTCTTGAAGGTTCATTGGAGTTCCCGCAGTTCTGAGGTTAATTATCAGGTTTAAAAAGATTCTTTCTGTGTAAATATCATTGGTTTTAGTTACGAGAACATGAAAATCATAGGAAAAAAATGAAAGGAGTTGCGAGATTTTTTTCAAAACATGAAAAATAATCATGAAAAAGCAGCTTTTTTTGGAATGAATTTTTGAAAAATCAAGTTTTTTGAAAAAAAGAGTAGTTAGTTTAATTTTCAAAGCTTCAAGTTGAAGCTTTGAAAATTCATAAATTTGGTTTATTTTTTTCAGAAAAAAACTCTGTATTTGTATACAACAAATTTACGTAGAAAACTACATTTTTCCAGCAAAAATAGAACATTTTAAACTTTTTCTGATCGAATTTTTCGATTTTTTTCGGAATTTTTGTTAGTATTTTGTAGGGAAAAAAAGAATTTGATGATAACTTTTGAAAAAATTCAATTGAAACTATTTTTTTCAAAAAAATTAAAAAGTACTCATCCGAAATGTACAAGAATGTTATGGACCGAAAGGAAAATTTTTTTCTAATAATTGAAATTTTTTTCCTTATTTTACTAATTCAAAAAGCCAAGAAAATACCAACTTCTCATGTTGTAAGTAAAAGTTTTTTTATTCAAATCTTCAATTCAAAAAGCAAACAGAACCTCACAGAATACCGAGAAAAATTGAGACTATAGCCAACAATGGAAGAAGGAGGAGAAAGAGGTCGGTTTTTGGGAGAAAGTTGGACCTCCACTTGAGGACCAGTTCTCCAAGTGCAACTCCCGCATATTCACGAGTTGATTTTCTCGAGAAATGAGCGTTATAAATCAATCAATCCAATTTCTTGAAGAAAGTCAACGAGTACTCTTTTCCCTGAAAAACTTGAGAAATTTCGGAAAATTGCCGAGAAGAAAAGAGTTTATTCAACGCGGATATTGTAGGCTTTTCGAGTTCAAACATCTTTTTTGGGACTTTCTAAAGTTGATTATGAAAAAGTTATGATTTTGAAAAAAGGGCAGAGATTTCTCATGCTGATGAGTGTGAAACAAGGCGCGCCGTAGCGCAACAGGTTGTGTGCCTGTCTACGGTCCACAGGGTCACAAGTTCGATCCCCGCGCCGACTCCGCTCAAACGGTACAAAGGCGTTGGAAGAAGAAGAAGAAGATGCGTGTGAAACAGCCGTGTTAACACGGATTTTCCGCGGGTGTATCCATATAAGGCCCGCTCTCACACTGGCCATGAGTCTCAACGGGTGAACCCACATTAAAGGCATAGGGGCAGTAAAAAACGGTGTTTCAGTTCAAAGCAGTACTTTGTAGAGCTTTTCAGTGCAAATTGAACGGTGAACTTGGAAACGTACAGAAGTTCCTAGTTTTGGAGAAAAAATAATTCAAAGTCGGAGAGAAGAAAGTTTGAGTTCCCGCCAAAAGGGCGCTTTGCAGTAAAGTTGCTCTATGGACAACAGGCCTCCCCGTTTTTCGGATTTTCGCTTTTTTCTTCCACAGCGTTCTAAAACGGGGTTGACGCAAAAAGAGGCGCACACTATTCTCAATGGAGCGCGTAACTTGGTGCGTTGTCAATTAAAATCAAGGTGCTTTTTTTTCTTTCATTTACATGCTATTAACTTTTTTTGATTGTTTTTTTAAAAATTTTTTTGTTTCTATGCACGTAAATTTTTAATTAATGTTTTTTTAAACGTATTAGAAAGTTTTTAAAGTGTCCATAGCTCGTTAATGTGTCGAAACGTTGTTTATAAAAGAAAATACTGTATCCAATACCGAAAATAAAAATTCAAACTCCAAGAATCGATCAAAATATCAGTTTCCAACTAATAAACAAGAGAAAAAAAGCTGTCAGTGTTCGCGCAAAAGAGAAAAATTTCGACTTGACGAAAAATTAAAAAAAAAGGTGTAATTGGTCTGTACCTAAGAGACAAAACCCAAAATCGAAATTTCAACTCCAGGAATCGATCACATTATCAGTTTTCAATTACTTAAACAGGAAAAAAAAGAATATAAAATCAAACCTGAGTTAGAAATTTCGACTTTCGTGAACAGAACAATTATGTAGTCCTTTGAACCAATCAAACCACAAGAAAATAAACTGCGAAATTTTAAGAGAGTTATAGGAAATGACTAGCAACACTTGGAAACTATAAATGTCCGGAAAAAAAATGTTAGCCTTCAAATAATCAAAAAATCCGGACCTTTGATTAAGACGCGAAAAAGACGATAGTTAGCCACGCCCACCCATGCAGCGTCCGCATGCTTTTTTCAGAAAAAGGGGCGGGAACCCCGCTTTTAGAACGCTGTGCTTCGTTTCTTTCAAATTTCAATTTTTTTCTGTTGTCACCAAAGTTCTTTTTCGTCAAAAACTTTCTATTCATGTATAATTTGCAAACTTTTATCGCAAAAATGCTTTTTTTGGTGAAAAAAATGATGATTTTACACAGGTTTCGATTAGGATTGAGATATTTTTGTGTTCTTTTTTTATCGGTGTGTTTTTTTGATTTCTTAATCAATTTTTTTCAGATTAAAAACCCTTGATTTGAAGCAGATATCCGGTTATTTCTCCCAAAAATGCGAGTCTAATGAGATGTCCGCAACATCGCGTGCACGGCTACTGTAAACAGTTGTCCGCATGCCGATCCAAATCTTTTTTCAAAATCAAAGGCGGGAAAGTAAAATCGCGTTTTTCTTCTAAAGTTGTCACATCTCTAATTTTTTTGAGTACACCGTTCGATTCGCAAAGAAAAACTATGTAAGATACTGCTTTCACCTGAAACCCCATTTTTTACTGCCCCTATGCCTTTAAATTGACCTTGGGCGCCCATTTTTATGGATATGGCTTACAAAAAGGCAAATTGTTTACATGGGACACTTTCTGTCTTCAATTCCGTGTTCAAAGTAATTTTCGCGAAATGCAGAATGATCTCTGACTCTGCAAAATTTAGTTATCTTTCTCTATTTTTAAATGGTGTTCTGCATTTTGCGGAATCACTTTCAACACGGCAAAAGCTTTTGTATTTTGTAGGGAATAAAAAAACCATAGTAATGGGAAAAAAAAAATTGATCTTTCGAGTGGTGAAACAAAAAGCTAAATTCTTGTTTTTTTCTGTTTTTTTGATGAACTTCGCTTCAGTTTCAAAAATTACTTCGGGTTGAAAATTTTAAATATTTGAATATTTATTCCTTTTTAAGAAAAATTGTTCGAAAACGTGTAGAATAATCCTTAAAGACGCTAAAATCTTCCATTTCTTATCAACTCTTGTTCCATGTGAGTCTGCTGCTTAAAATTATTCTTTGATAAGATTTTTTTAAATCAAAACGATTTCGATGACTTTTTTTGAAAAAAATTTTTCAGGTCGTGTAGAATATCTGCCCACGGCTTGACCTGCTACGGCATTTGGATGTTAGTTTTTTTTTATCATCATTTTTCTTGATTAAAATGAATTTTCGTTTAGTTCTAACACTGAAATTTTGACTTTTTGGAAGATTTCTGCTCATTTATTGGACTTATTCTATGGAAAAAAAACGTTTTTTTTGTTGAATTATTGTTTTTTGATAGTTTCTGGAAAATTTTTTCAGTGACCATTATAGGGTTTTGACGTTCTAGTGGCCACTATGGTAGTCAAACAAGTGGCCACTTAAGGGGTTAAAAATTAATGGCCACAATAGAGGTCTAAGTGCTACTACTAGGCCTCTAAAAATCTTAGTGGCCACTTTAGGGGTCAATGGATCAAAATAACTGGTCCAATCTGTTTGCTTTAAAATTATCAGAGTTCCTGGAAAGAATAATGGATGAAAAACTACTGAAGTGGCCACTAAAACGGAAAATAGTGGCCACTATAGAGGTGGATTTAGTGGCCACTTTAGTGTCCCCTCCAAGTAGCCCTTGGCGAGCCCTATAGTGGCCACTAAAGATTTTCCCAGTTCCACAGAAAAAAAAAATCAAAAAGGTACATATATTTCATCAAATTTTCACAAGAATCAATGATAATTTTGCGCTTTTCTCTTCAAGTAGCTCTTTTTAGGGACATTCTGGGCATCATTTGCCTGTTCGGCTGGTGTATCATTATTTGTGGGATTTATTTTCTCGGCTGGTTCGGAATTCGGCCCAAAAGCGTTTCGAAGGTTCATTTTTTCATTTTCTTTATAATAATTGAATAAATTTCAGCTCTATTACGAGTTGGACGTTGCGCCGAAAGCTCCAAACTCATTGAAAAACGTGACGCAGAAATAAAGTTCAAATTTCAATTTTTATCGACGTAAAAATTTGAAAACGACAACAAAAACAACGTGGAAAGAAAGGGGATAACAAGTAACAATAGAGCAGTTTTTCGCTACAAAATCAACAAAAAAGTCTTGGAATTAATCGGTGAAGAGGGCGATTCGGCCGTCGGCGCCGGCCGTGATGAGCCACGGCTGGATCGGGTGCCAAATCGAGGAAAGCATGCACAAATCGTCGACCTGCAGAAAAAAAATAATAAGCCCTTTTATAGTCCATCCGCCGCGACTTGACAATTTTCGCCGTCTCTCTGTTCCCTCACCGGCGAGGTCAGAGTAACATGAAAACAGCACGTAAACATGAGAGAGACGAGGAGAGCGCAGAGAAACAGGAAAGAGTGTTTTTGCGTGTCTGCGTCTCTCTGTTCTTCCTCCGGCGAGGTCAGAGAAACATGAAAACAGCACGTAAACATGAGAGAGACGCCGAGAGATAAGGAGGGCGCAGAGAAGACCCTATAGGAGTTGAAAATCTGACCCTAAGCCGCTATAGCTTGAGTGGTTCCTATAGTGATTTTCAAAAGATTCGATCCATGGCCTGAGGATTTCTCAATATTAACTTTCCTAGCAACTACAGAGTGGTCCCTAGAGGGCCTAAGGAAAAAAAGCGGGAGAAAAAAAGGGCTCACAGAGAGGTAAAATATAGGTGGTGCCTCTAGGGGTTCAATCCTTTGATCCCTAAGCTTGAGTGGTCCCTATAGCGGTTTTTTTTTTCAAAATATTTGATCCATGGCTTTCTTGAGGATTCCTCGATACGAACTTGTATCTTAGAAACGACAGAGTGGACCCTAAAGGGGCTAGGGAAAAGAGAGCCCCCACAAGGAACAAGATAGTGCTTCCTAGACGGCTAGAGTCTAGGTAGTCCCGTTAGAAGTTTAAGATCTGATCCCTTAACCCCTAAGCTTGAGTGGTCCCTATAGCGGTTTTTTTTTTCAAAATATTTGATCCATGGCTTTCTTGAGGATTGTTCAAAAACGAACTCGACAGAGTAACCCCTTGGCCTTGGGAAAAACAGCCCCTGACGGGGACAAGATAGGGCTTCTAAGAAGGGAAAAATTTGAGTGGTCCTTATAGGAGTTTAAGGTCTAATCTCTGAACCCCTAAAGCTTGAGTGGCCCCTATAGTGGTTATTTAAAAGTTTCTATCCATGACCTGAGGATTTTTCAAAAAGAAGTTTCTCAGGAGCTCCAGAGTGGTCCCTGAAGAGTCTAGAAGAAAAAGAGCTTCTACAGGGAAAAAATAGTGCTCTCTAGAAGGCTAAAGTCTAGGTAGTCTCTATAGGGGTATATGGTCTAATCCTTAAACCCCTGAAGCTTGAGTGGTCCCTACAGGGGTTTTTTTGAAGAATTGATTTCTGACCTTCCTGATGATGTTCAAACTTGTTCCTTAGAAACGACACAGTGATCCCTAGAGAGCCTAAGGAAAAGCAGCCCCTACAGGGACAAAAAAGGGCACCCTAGAGGGGTAAATTTTAGGTGGTCATTCTAGGGGTTTAGGTTTTTCTGACCCCAAAGCCTCTGAGGTCTGACCTTAAGCCACTAAAGCTCAAGTGGTCCCTATAGGGTTTTTTTAAAAATTTTTTTGTTCAGATTTGAAAGCTGAGAAGACAAGTGTGATCGATTAATTCTCTTCCGTTGATTTTTATTCAAAAACGCTAGTTTATTGAGTTTTTCGCATGGAAATGCTTCTTCTCATAGAGTTCATGAACTACCAAGATCCCTTAGAGTGTCCACTTTTGTAAACTTTGGTGTCTTAGGCGCCTTAGGATCTACTCTAAGATCCACTCTAGGGCAAGGTGGTCCCTAGATTCAACCTTCAAGTGCTTCTAATATTTTTCACTCTAGGGACCACTCTGGCGTTCCTAAGACAAACTGTTCAGATATCAAATTTCAAGGTGACGGTTCTTGTCCAAGTTTTTTTCTCACGAGTTTAAAAAAATTAAAAATGATAAGAATTTTTAGAAACTTCTTCGTAGCCTCAACTACTTCTCAAAAAAATTCTTATTTTTACTCTT